AAGTCCTTAACCATCCCATTCACCAACACTGAATAACGACAAGAGTGTAAGCATCCTCTTATCCACTTACACCATTTATCCCCAAAACCACGTCTTCTCAACATCTCCAGCAGGAAATTCCAATCCACTAAGGCAGACATTAGATTTTTTTTGAAGAAGAATATTACTAAAAGGTTTGAGATGATGATAACAATATGCTTTCAGCATATAGAGATTTAGGGGGAATTGGGTGGTTCAGAGGACACAAGGGTTCTGGGCATTTCAGACACTATGTTAGAGACACCAGTGCTTAAGTCTGGAGTGAAAACCTTGTTCTGATGGGTGTGGAGATCAGTGAACTCTCTAGCAGATAGCCTAGCTAGAATGGCTTTATGGTTTTAGCTAACCTTTCCACAAAGGGTTGGATCTGGCTCCTTATGTTAAGGAGTCAGAAGCTTGTATTTATTTCGCTTTTATTAATGAAGTTCTTTGATCTTGTTGAAAGTGTTCATGATTCTACTTTTCATTGCTCTTCTTCAGTTCTAGTTTCTTTTAATGTTTTGTTACTTAATTTCTTTTGTGTATCTGTGAGAGCAGGCAGCTGAAGAAGAGCGGCTGCGGCAGGAGTTTGAGAAGGAAGGCAGGACGCTTCCTCTAAAACAGGAGTCACAAATCTTTGATTCAAATGTTATCACTCCTGGAACTGAGTTCATGGCTGTTTTATCAATTGCACTGCAGTACTATATTCATCTTAGACTTAACAATGATCCTGGATGGAGATCAATTAAGGTTTCCTGCAACTCATGTTTCCATAATCCATACATGCAATTCCTGGCAACTTTTTTTTAAAGCTTTTCATTTGATGCTCATTTCACAAGGCTTAACTGAAATCGTCCTCTTTTTTTTGTTTAATTTTTTTGAAGGTTATTCTTTCTGATGCAAATGTTCCTGGTGAAGGGGAACACAAAATTATGTCTTTCATTCGTCTTCAAAGAAATCTTCCTGGATATGATCCAAATACATGCCATTGTTTGTATGGTTTGGTATGTCTTTTCCTTCAACATATGTGAATCTTTCATCCTGTCTGAACAGAAAGACATGTTTATGTTTGTGATGCATTTTCTAGAATATAATTGTTGTTTACCTTTGTATGCTTGACTGTACTTCAGGATGCAGATTTGATCATGTTGGCATTGGCTACTCATGAAGTGCATTTCTCAATCCTGAGAGAGGTCAGTATGCCTGCCTCTTCACCCTGAATGTGGGCTGACTCTCTGATGCTGAGTATTGAAGTTATAAATTCATTGCTATCATCGCTTGGACAAGTTAACGTTCAAATTATTTTCTTCTAAATAAGTTTAAAATTTTAATTGAGGAAGAGAAAAGAGGTGAATTCTTTTGGTGATTAAGGGCCATGAAGGCCATGGCCCAACGTTGGTCCCAGATATCTGGGGTCTTGGGAGGGGTAGACTGGGTACGGTCCTTTTCACACAAAGTGGCCGCTGTTTGTTTTTTTTTTTTGTTTTTTTGATACCTACATACATACATACATACTTTTGATACCTGGTCAGACTTCTGTTTTTTGTTTTTTGTTTTTTTTTTACATTACATACACTACTACTGGTACATTTCAGATTGTTTTTACTCCTGGTCAACAAGACAAATGCTTCCTATGCGGTCAAATAGGGCATTTGGCTGCAGATTGTGAAGGAAAAGCAAAAAGAAATTCAGGGGAATTTGATGAGAAAGGTGAAGGTGTTCCTGCCTCAAAAAAACCTTATCAGGTTAGCCATGATTTGAATTTGTGCTGAAGTGCCTACAAAGTTTTCTTAGCAGGTATGTGCAGTTTGTTAATTTTATTTGGCACTCATTTCTTCAATTTCTACTATTGTTGCAGTTTCTCAACATCTGGATTCTCAGAGAGTATTTGGAGTATGAAATGAGGATTCCTAACGCTCCATTTGAGATTGATTTTGAATGCATTGTGGATGACTCTATATTCATGTGTTTCTTTGTTGGGAATGATTTCCTGCCACATATGCCCACATTGGAGATTCGAGAGGTTTGTCATGCAACTAATTTTGTGTTTTTTTTTTTTTTCTCTCCTGAGGTTGTTATTTCATGAACTTCAATTCCCAGATCTGTCTCATTGTACTCAACTCAAATCAACTTTAACCCCAACTACTTGTGGATGGTCACACAAAGCTTGTCCTCCATTGTGCTCTATCTAGGGCCATGTATAGCCCCAAGTTAAGTTATTTTTATTCTAAAATCGTTTTGTTAAGCAGAAAATAGGTAAAAATGCAAGTTGTCACTGGAACAGCATACTTTGGAATAATGATTTTGTAGTATAACACTTGTTGTATAGTTCATATAACTAACTATACAAATGTAATCATCTTTTAATTATTTTGTTTGAGACAAACTCTCCCTCTTTTAATAGAATATATTTTACCTTTCAAACAAATAGATAAGAGTGCAAGGTGGGTGGGTTGGGCTAAGCTGTTTCTAGGGACAACTCAGACACAACCCTAAGAGTTGGCTCCCTAAGAAAGGGGACACTCTCCTGTATGCTTTGTATTTCTATGGACTATCTCATTTTGGGTTGAATGACCTATATGCCAATGAACTTCTCTCTTTTTGTTGCCTATCGATATTTGAAAAAAACTAGAGGTATGGTATGGCCATGCATAAATTGGATCTCGAAAAGGCATGCGATTTGGTGGATTGGTCGGTCTTATTGGAACTCCTAGACTCTTTTGGATTTGGGCAGAAGTGGTGCAGTTGGGTGAAAGGATGTATTAGGACATGCCACTATTCTATTTTGGTGAATGGTAAGGTGGTAGATCACTTCCCAGCTACTAGGGGTATTAGGCAAGGGGACTCCCTGCAGCGAGGGAAATCCAGGCCCGTTAGGTATAGGGGGAGTTTTCAGGGATGAAGAAGGTCGAATTATTGCCATGTATTCTGGTTCTATTGGATGGGGGGATTCTCTTAGAGCTGAAATATTGGCTGTTCTGGAAGGGGTAAAAAGAGCCCAAGAGTTGATTATCAGAAAACTGATGGTGGAAGGTGATTCTAAGCTGGCTATCAATTGGCTGCAGAAGGATGATTTTAGTTTGTGGAAATTTCTGAATGAGAAAAAGAAAGTTAGACAGTTCACTCAAAACATGGAAGTCAAGTTTCAATGGACTAAGAGGAGTGCCAATTCCTTGACAGATTCATTGGCCAAACAAGGGGTGGGAAGAGTCAACTTTTTCTAGGCAATATTGTAAACTGAAATGTACTTATTGGGGGGGTCAAGAGTTTTTACCCCTCCTCTTGTATCTTTTTCTCTTAATATCTATTAATAAAAGTTTCTGTTATTTATCAAAAAAAACTTTTTAAGAAAAATGTTTTTCCATGTGCAGCCTGTTAATACACTTTATAAGTCTTTTAAGAACTCTGCCAGCACTTTCTACACTGATACGCCAATAACGAAAACTGGTTAGTTGACCACAAGTTTGAAAAGAATTTAACTCCAGTATGTTACCCTTGGGAAAAACATGTGGTCAAGGTTAACTTGTCAATTTTTTAGACTTTTACTTTCTTGATTACTATCTGAAATCCAGCCTGAGAGTGAGAGACCCTTATAGCTAATTCAGATGAAGATTTTCTAGGGGTACACTTCTTGGCCTTTTCTGATGTGGCAGTTTTTGTTTTAAAAAAAACATCATGCACATATTGGTAAACACCCACTTAGTTTTTCTAATGCTATCTTTTCTCTTCTTCTATCTTCTTGGTTTTTAGGGTGCTATCAACTTGCTGATTGCTGTATACAAAAAGGAGTTCAGGACAATGGGTGGGTATTTGACTGATTCAAGCAAGGTATTTCGTTTGCCATCTTATCTATTATAAATAGGTCATAATTATAACTATAAAACTTGGTTTGCTGTTCATTTCTTTAGCATGCTTGGTTCTTACTTTTTGAACATGTTTCCTTCTTTCTTTGCAGCCAAACCTGAGCAGGGTTGAGCATTTCATTCAGGCAGTTGGATCCTTTGAGGATAAAATATTCCAGAAAAGAGCTCGACTACATCAGGTTGGTTCTGTATCTGATCTCTGAAATATCTCCCTACATTGAAGGTATTGACTTTGTTGACAAGGTTGTAGATGAAAAATTGTCACCAGAACTAAATTCTTTAGGTAATATATGTGGTGCTTTTTTTGGATGTTTTCCAGTAAATGTGCAATACTGCAATCTGGTATGTTGCATTTCCTATAAAAGTTGGACTATGTTAGAAAATCTATTGAAGAGTTTGAACTATTGTTTCTTATTTGAGGTTTATACAGTGGAATGTGGTTTTATTTGACAATGATTTTTGTTTGTCCATCCTTGTGATGTTTGGGACTATCTTTTCTTTTCTAGGTTGCATGAATGAATTTGCTGGTGTGCAGGTTCCTTGAGGCTTTATTGGATCAGCCACCCAATGTGCCATTCTATGCTGTATGCCAGCACATGTCCTGTCCTGTTGGCTGTTTTTTTTTTTTTTTTTTTTTGATAAATGTGTCCTGTTAACTGTTGCTATTACACAATGAAGAATTCAAGTTATTTTGTTTTAAGCTGAAACCCTTTTATCCTAGTGGGTTTCAGCTTCCAAGGAATTTCAAGAAGTGAGACAGGAAGCCCTAAGAAAGTACTTACCAGATATCCTTATACCCTCTCCAGGTGGATACGTAGAAAATTGTCCTCTCTTTATTATGTGTGAGGTTACATTGCAATTTGATAGTATCTCTCGGGGTGGTGTTCTTAAATCCCCAGGTGTTGCTGCCATTGAGGGGTTTTCTTTTTTGATCTGGAGGTAACAACATATGGGCTTACAGTGGAACAATTGGGGGATGCTGACTCCTCAGAGGCTGAAGTTATGGCTGTCCTTACAGGGCTACATATAGATTGCTTAGCTGCATCACTCCTTCCCACTATGCACCTAAGGATGGCTAATACTATTAAATGGAGTCAGAAGATGGGGCCATATCCTTGGAGACTAGCACACTTTTTGAATTAAACAGAGAACACCCATCACTCTCTTCAGCATGTGTTAAGTTGATCCGTAAGAATTCTTACACTTCAGCTGATGGATTAGCCTGATCTGGGGTTCAAAGGTCATTCTTGTATAGCGACAGCTCCTTACCTCTATAGTTTTTGTTCATCTTTTCTTTTTTTTTCCTCATTAGTGGAAGGCTGATTTGTTCTATTTTTTTTTTTTTTTTGGAGTTGTACATGAGATGATGTACAATGAGGGAGTAGGTGTATTGGGTAATAGCACTTATTGTTCATCCTCATGTACTGTTTTTACCTACAAGGCTACAATCAATACAATACCATAGGCCCCTAGTTATACATCCTCTCCTGTACTGATTTATGTATGATGCTTATTCTCTTTTCTTTTAAAGATAATGAAACTCTTCATCGTGATAGTGAGAAAAATCAGTGTCTGAGATAGATAGTCTCAGCAAATGCAGTTCCCATTTTCTTAATGTTTTTTATTTCTCAAAATTCTAGCATAACCTTGTTGAGTCAAAGAAACTGAAATGACTACATTTCCATTTCGAAATCTTTTGATGTTTTTTTGAGTTTCATTGGATTTCAGTTGAATTTTTGATGAATATTTTGGGCTAACAGTATGTCATGTGTAACAGATGTAATATATTTTGGCAAAATTTATGAATGTTTGTTTTGTTCCTACTGAATAGAATATACTTTAACTTGCTTGGTAGTATAAATTTGAATATGTTTCTGAACTCTGACTTCAATACAACATGAACTGACAATACTTCAGTGGTAATATATATGCATATAAAAGGAATCTTTATAAATTAAAAAACCTATAAAATCATGTTTTCAGGTAAGCATGTTTTGCTAAAAAATTGAAATATGCTCGGCATGGCTGGTTCATTGTTGACTTGAAGTCTTGAGGATGTGCCTCTGTTATCACAAAACTAGTTGGAAGAGCTATAACTTGCCAGGTTATTTTTAAGCCTAGCTATTAGCTGGGCACCTGGTTTTATCTTCATTAACTTGATCTACCTAAAAAATTCCTCAACATGAACTGATTACTATTAGACAATTTACCAAGCTGTGCTCTAAATGGATATATTTTTAAGGTATAAACAAACATGGATATTCCCATTATCAGACAGAACAATGTTTGTTTACCTATCGGTTTGCAACTCAGTTGTGGAACCACTTTCTTTTCCTTTTGGGTATCATGGACACCTTCAATCCTCATTCTTGAGCCTTTTTTTTTTGCAAAATTGGTCTCTTGTCACACAAGGTTGAAAATTTTGTAGCATAGTATGGGGAAAGCCATTTTTTGGAGTCTATGACCCTATGGAGAGAGAGGAATGCAAAAATTTACGAGAACAAAAAACAAAATATATACTCCTTAATAAATCTCATTATGGTGAAAATTGCACATTGGGCTTTGACGTGAAGTATTCAAGAGAGTCAAAATAGATCACCTATTAAGGGTTGGCGGGCAGGCTATTGCGGGCTATTCCATTAGGAAACAACAAAGAATTGTGGAATGGAGGATTATAACAAATAGGTAGAGGGATATTTTTTTGATCAGAAAAAAAAAGAATTTTATTCAATTAAGAGAAATAAATACAGGATTACAACAGCTAGAAGCAAAACATTGCACCAGAAATAGTTACAATAAGTGATTTAAAAGGCATGCCTAGGCGCACAGGTGAGGCACATTTTTGGGTAGGAGCCTTGCCCAAGTCCTAGGCGCAGCCCTTTCAAAAGGCGCACACTTGGTGCGCCTAGGCGTGTGCCTGATGTGCCTTGCACCTCAGCCCAGGCGTGCGCCTTTTTAAAATTCTGCGCTTTTTGTTTTATTTTTATTTTTTTGACCCTAACGGCTAGGCCGGGGTAAAACCCCCTTATTTCGGTGAGCGAGTGAATCGAGCGAACCGGAGCGGAGTAGAACCCCCTATTTGATATTTGGTAATGTTCATTCATTCATCCTACTAAAATATCTTCTTAAAAAGCAATTAAAATTATAAAATCATTATTTTTTGTGTGAGAACTAAGAATTTAAGACCCTAACATGGACTTGAAAATGTTTTATATGTTTGATTTTATTTTTAAATTCACATTTGAATATGCTTTTTTTTGACAGTTTTTTTTTGATAAGAATCATATTCCATTAATTCAAAGATTGGTTACATGAAAAGCACCTTAGAGAGGCGCAAGGTGCTGCCTCTCCATACAGAAAACACAAAAGCTACATCAAAAAGTGCATGATTGTTACAAAAGACACAAGTTACAGTTGCGCCCAGAACAATGTTTCCCTGTTTGTCCCTTGTTTTGCCAAGACATCAGCAAATGCATTAGCTGATCTCCCAACCCACTGTACTGTTACAGACATATTCCTTGTCAGCCATTTGAATTTCTTTATCTCATTCTTGTAGCCCCATGTGACATTCTCCAGATTATTTAACCAGTTCACCACTGTCTTGGGGTCCCCTTCAACCAGAAGCTGCTTCACACCCATTTCTTTTGCAAGAATTATTCTTTGTATTGCAGCTAACAGCTCTGTCTGAATAGAGTTACCGACACCTAAAGGGCTGGAGTATAGTAAGACAGCCTCTCCAGCCTGTCTTGGGGTCCCTAGCTACTTCCATCAAAATTCAGCTTCAAAGAACTGTGAGGAGGGGGGACCCAGCTTGTCATTACCTTTATCTTTGAGGAGGATCAACTTGCTACTGATAACCAATCCCTCCAATAGTCAGTAAAGGAGAAATGATCAAACAAATCCAGAGTCTTTAACCAATGTATTGCCCTATACAAAATGCAGTCCTTCAAGGCCTAACTGCTTCTCCCCTTTTCCTGGAAGATCCTGGCATTCCTTTCTTCCCAAACTGTCCATAACAAGGCTGCTCGTGCACACCTCCACATTTTCCTTCCTCTTTTATGGGGACAATAGAACATAGAAGGGTTAAAGATTGTACTTACTTCTGTTGGCATATCCCATCTATACCCAAACAATGATAGAAGCCAAACCTAGAGCTTTGCAGTGACACTACAAGATAAAAATAAGTGATAACAGTCCTCACCATGAGATCTGAAAAGAGTGCACCAGTTTGGAGAAATACATAGGAAGGGTCTTCTCTTTTGTAGGTTATCCATCGTGCTTACTTTACCATGCAACACTTCCCAACACAAAGCCATAACCTTGGGGGGAACCGGTCTACACCAGATTTCTTTGGAAGGGAAACTTTGTTGAGAGGAGGTTTGGCATAGGAAATTCAAAAAAGGAACCACAAGAAAAAGACCCATTAGGGTGAATGGCCCAAATCCTCTTATCAGGCTTCAAAGGATCCAACCAAACCTTATTGAGGAGACCAAGAAGAGCAAACAAACAATCAATTTCATCCTCCCTTAACCCTCTACGGAAACCAAAGTCCCAAGACAAAGACGACACATTTGAATATGCTTTACATGTTATGTTTATGTATTTTAATTTTAGATAATAGGTTTTTTAAAACATTTATTTTAAAATTTAAGGTTTATATTATTAATTAATATTATGCTTAATATTTATTTATTTTTTAAATTTTCTGATTTTTTGATTTTTGTGCTTTGCTTCAGAAAGGTGTGCGCCTCGCCTTGCGCCTTAGGTGCAAATTGATCCCTGCGCCTTTTTTGCACCTTGCGCTTTTAAAACATTGGTTACAATAAAGCCCAAAAAATCTATTGCTTTTGAACTCTCTGTTTAGCTAGAGAATCAACCATTCCATTTGCAGTTCTCCTGATCCATGTGAATGAGGCATTAAGTTCCCTTGCTATGTTACTATCTCTCTTAACCGATGCCTATATATCCAAGGAACATTACCGTTTGAATTGGTCCAAGATATCACTGTTTTTGAGTCCCCTTCTATCTCCAAGTTCTTAAGGTCGGCTTGTTTGGCAATTTTTAACCCTTGTAACAGAGATAATAGTTCAGCTTTTAAAGAATCACCTTCCCTAAAGGTTCTGAGTACATAGCCAATACTTTGCTTGATGAATCTTTGATCACACCCAAGGTTCAAAAA